AGGAGTATTATAGGGGTGGTTAAGGGGCATGCTAGTTGCCATATGTTTGCTTCCCCGAACGCAGGGGCCCCAGCTTCGGGGATCCTTTCAATAAGGATTTAGGGATATGTAAGTGTAAGGCGGACCTCTATGCTAAGATGTGTCAATTCGTTGAACAGGAACACGCTGTCGTATGACAGCCTATGACAATTGCCCTGCCCAAGGTTCCAACCTGCATGTGGGGGCACAGACCATAGGTTCTACGATGATTTATAAACCCTAAATCCCTAAACTTTAAAACCCTAAAACCCTAAGCTCTAAAATCTAAACCTTCAAACCCTGAAACCAAAAAACCCTAAAACCCTACGTTGCAGGGCCTGAGCTGGAAACGGTTCCGACCCCGCCGAGAAGGACCCCTCGTACTGGGGAACATTGGTCAAAACCGATTTGGACGACGGTACCATGCCAATACCTGATGCGATCATCACCTCCGGCATTATTAGAGAGAACTCTGCTCTGGAGCCTCAAGAAACCTAGCCCTTGCGTCCAGGAATTCACCGTAGCAGATGGCACTTATAGGATGGCGCATGGCTGACTTTTGCTGCGATTCACAAACCAGTTGAACATCACAAATGTTGTGCTGATGGATGTGCAGCTGTCACCGATCCTGTGGCTCAACTCAAATACTGAAGATTGGGGCATCTCCAGCTACATGACACCTTCCGATAGTTGGTCGGCATGTCCACGAAAGCTTATTGACGAGTCAGGTCAGCTATTACTGTCTAGGAACAGTTCTTGCAATTTTCTTTGTCTCTTGCCTCCTAGGCCTACAAAAGGCCTTTGACGTCGAATGAGTTGCATGCACCAAAGCTCCCATGAAATTCGAGACTTCTGAGATGATTTCGCCTGCGTACCCCATGACCAATAGCTTCAGGATGAGAAGCCAACCAGCTAACACTAGCCAGGGCGCCAGAGATCTGATCTTGGTAGACTTGGACCTGAAGCCCGGTAAGACAGCCCAGAGGTGTCGACAGCGAATCAGTCGTGAAGACCCGTGATTAGTAAGCCCCCTTCCTTTTAAGGGCCTTAATGTTGGGATCCCTATTATAATCACCGTCAAGGGGAGGGGGTTTATTAATAACGAGTTTGGCTTAGTAAGCTGATCTGGAGAATGCCTTTGTGAGGTCTGCATTCGGAAGCGACAACACCATGTCATCTAACTGCAGGGTTTAATTGACTTCCCGGATGCTTTTCAACCAGTCAATCTTTAGCGTGCTACAAGAAATATCCATACAAGGAATCAACATGAGGTCCCTGAAGTAAGATCCTTCGCACCCCCGAGGTTGGCCCGCAACATGGCCCTTTTACAATGGTTCTTGCGACTTGCCCAAGACCTGTACGTGCTCTCTGTATGTCATGGCGGCCTCACCCCTATTCTACTTATTCGGTCATGACCACAGCTTAAAAACAAAAACGAAAGACAACGAAAACAAAACACCTGAATCGTGCGCTGTGTCTGGTGTTTGGGCAACGGCCCTACATGGTAAAGCCAGCTGTACACATTTAGTGACTGGAAGGATGCCTGTGCAGCTGTCGCAAAAAGCTTTCAGTCTCAAATTGTTGGTTGCATGAAACATCATACAATGGAAGTTTCCATTTTCTTTTCCATTATTACGTACCTATCCCCTATATAACCCCAATATAACTCGAATATAGCCCTAATATAACCCCGATATAAACAAAAGATAACCCTAATATAATATCCTAAACCCTAAAGTATGCTTAACTACAAATCCCCTACAATTTCTGCCGGCCCCTCCTCAAAACTGTCAGTTGTGCCTGCCCTGACACAGCTGTAAAGAGCCCTTATGTTAGGGTTATATGGGGTTTTATTAGGGTTGTATTCGAGTTGTATTGGGTTTATACGGAGTTTGCAGCTTCCAACAAACCACTTCGTTCATACCGGCCAAGAGAATGAAATGACGATGGACACCAAAACTGTACCGTAAAGGCCTCAAGCCCTCAATCATAAAATGTGGGCAAGATCCCAGACCCCCTAAAGAATCCAACAAATGGGAACCCCCAATATGAACCAATTACTACATTGGGGGAACTAGGGGATTATTAGGGGGTTCCATTTTTTGGATCCTTTAGGGGGTCTGGGATGGACATCACTATGGGATTGCGACCCCACGGTGGCGAGTCGCCTTGGCACCCTGGTCGAAGCGACGCCTGATCCTGCTCTCAGGCTACGGCAGCTAAGGGCTTGGGGTTTAGTGCGGTTTTGTGTCACCAGGAAGCAGCTAAACCAGAAAGGAACTGTGGTACACCTGCAGGACTGGTAACTAACCACGGCAACCACTGCGGGCTGGTTACTTGACGTGATCATTTTGTCCTGATGTCAAAGCATGGCAATGGCTGTTTTTGGGGTTTCACCTCAACCTTCTTCAACAGTGTAAGATAAGCAATATTTGCCGTCTACCATGGGAAAATAATGGCGTGCGCCATCAAAGAAAAGGTAAAAAGCACTTTTGGAAGACGTTCTCTGCCCAGACTCATGTCTAAACCTCTTCATCCAAGAGTCCCGTGCTTACTACAGGGGCTTAAATAATTACCAATATGATTTTGAGGCCCACTTGAGGTACCACAAACCATAATTAAATAAGGAATATGGAACCATAATGTTGGTAATTATTTAGGCCCCTATATTACCCTGCTCCTTGCCTGCTCAAAGGCACGTCCCAAACATGGGCTTTCTCGTCGCTCAGAGAAGGGTCATCCTCGCAAGTTTCTTGTTCAAGGTAGGGTTGCCCTTAGAGACCCCACGGATATATAGAAACCATATGGAGATTACAGGGGCTCCCCTTGCAGGTTGCATGCAGACAAGTTCAAGACATTTTCATGGAAGCGTGCCGTCAGGAGCCCCATGGCATGTTCAGGTGTAAAAGTGCCTGCAGCAGCACCTACATGTACCTAAACCCAAAACCCCTAAACCCTAAACCCTAAGCTGCCTGGGGAACTTGAAGGACAATTCCCCGTCTGAAAGCAAGACACCCAATGATGAATGGGAGGAGACGGGGGAGGACCGCGGATTTCCAGATCTCTGTGTCTTGTTTGCTTTCACTGGTAAGAGCTGGTAGTGAGTGAGAATTGCTCGAAGGATAACTTCAAGGCCTCATGACCTGCGGCTTCCATCATGCAAGTGGGGGTGGATATAGGTGCCAGTATGCAAGACTACAATTTGTATGAAGGATTAGGAACGGCAAGCAGAACGTCAAAAAGGATTATGGAATTCTTGGATGTCCTAGAATAAGCCATTACTTTGAGCAATGCAATGCCTTCACATCTTAACCACACGCAGATACATAGATGTGAATGTGTATGTACCATAACTTATGAGCTGCAGTCTGAACTCCTTAAAGAGGGATGTATACGGGATTATAGTGGGGACTACCGTAGGGGTGGGTACAGGGGATAGTAGGAGTCTAGACTATAGCTCATATCTACACTCATTCATCTAGAGCAATTTACTTGGAAATACAGATTTTTTCAAGGGTTGCATTGTCTCAAGGATGTGTGTAAATGAGCCTAAGAAAATCTAATTGAACATGAAGATTTCTTCATTCAGGGCCTGCAGCACTGGCCGACCTGGCCGGCACCCTTCCTGCCTGCAAGCCAGCCCAACTCTGTGAACCTCCCAGCACCGATTTCCGCTTCTTATCTCAAGAAAACAGGATAAGTTCCTGTTCAAATTGAAACAAAGGCACCCTCCTCATTGTTCTGATGATGCTCGCTCGTGGGGGCGGGAGGTGTGGGTTGGTGGGGGGGCATGCACGACCCATACGTTAGCCGTAGTTGGACAACCATCTTTTTAGAACAAGTTTCCCGCGTCTCGGCTCGCACTTGTCCTTGTTGCACTTTCAATTCAACAGCCTGCCATATTCAGTAGTTTAGACTGGTGTAGGAGCTTCCACATATCTGGAAGGGCGTGCCGACCAGACGCAGGTTGCTTCGCAGTTTGCACAGGTCCGCATCCCCTCCATAAAGCAAGGCGTGCATCTGCCATCCACATTGGACCTCCTAGACTTGTAGGTGTTGTTTTCTCCAAAGCTCTTTCATAATCTAGTTGGTAATTTCCCTTGATAGGGGGACCCCACTACAGACCCCCAATGCTATAATCCCTATTCTGGGAGCCCCAAAAAGGTACCCTCGTTTCGGGAAACTACTATTTGGGGATCCAGCCCAAGCACCGGTTATACAGGGCTTGTAGGATTATATAGGGTTTAGGGTTATTGTTTTTTTTGCTTAGGGGGTGGCCTTCTTTGCGGGTGGAAATCGACACTTTGGGGATTGGATGGGGCTGCTCTTCCCAGTTCAAGGCGCAAGTTTCGAACACGGAAGCGTGCGTTGAAGATCTGCAGACTTTGTGCTCGCAACTCTAGATCTGGGAATGCAAGCCATTTACAGCTCAGGGATCTATGCCTGAGAGCCCCAGAACCCCGGTCCAGCGCCACATGGAATGTTGCCAGGTGCGAAATTGTGCGCATGGGCTCTCGGATGATGAGAGCGGGCAGCCAGCACTGCATCCTTGGGAACATTTTGACAAGTTTTTCCTGAAAGATCAAAGTAGCAAAGCGTTGCGATTGGGGTATGTGATCTCGGATCAGATTCACCGCGCGTCGTACCCTCTTCACCCCCGCTAACCTACGAATCCTGAGCTCCTTGAGTAAAATGCCTGTCGAGGTTCTTGCATCAGACATGGTCAAAGCTCAAGGATTCGGGATAGGATTGCGAGTTTTTGCTGAAGACTTGGAATTTCCTTGTTTTAGGTATTTGAGACTTGACGCTTGGCAGTTTGTAAATTCAGGATTCAGAGATCGAGGTAGCTATTGTTCACCCATGTTGTTCGTGCAGTCGCCAGACATTTCCCTGGTCTCCTGGAACACCCTTCAATTAAATGCTCCTTCATCTCAATCTGAAATCTCTTGAAGAACATCAGCTTGTGATGCATGCCAGGTTTCGCTTCCGAGAACACCTGCGGCCAGCTGAAATCTAGCTCTGGGATTGCTGAGTCAGGGAAGCCTACTGAGGTTTGCTGTGGCAGCAGGCACAAGAAATCGCCTCTGGCAGCGTAGACATGCTTTCTATGGTGTGTCCTCTTAAGGGTGCCACAAATGGCCAAAACATTGCACTACCTTCTTGCTCCACCCAAAGCGAGTCCATGAAGGTCCATTGGTCATCATGAGCCGGGTTAAACGTGGAGTGATAACCTCAAAAAGCGGACCTGGATCCGCACTTGTGACTGTTCATGAACCTTAAGGCAGTCCTCCACGCGTATTCCCGGTGCAAGCGGTGCTCGCAGAAGCTGCATGGGCACTGGCGTCCGAAGCTGTTTGCCTCTGCCCACCTGCTTCAGCCCTTATCACTCGGTGTCCCCTTCATTCCGCTGAAAGCCTGGTAAAGATTGTAACTCTAACTGTGTTGTATTGATATGACAAACAGAAAGCCTAACTTCTTTTCAGGGCCCCGAGTCCATTTTTGTCATCTGTTCTGCTCTATGTGACTCCAGCCGTGGTTGGAAGCACGTGTTAGTTTTGCTGCCCAGGAGCGATCACGCTGTACAAAGGCAGGCCATCATCGTCGAAGCTGCCACGCCCCTCCTAACGAGTAAGGGGACGACACTAAGTCAAGGTAGCGCTTCTCTTGTTTTGGGGTAGGGATCTAGCTGTTCAACAGAACATCAGAATGACCTGGATGCCTTTGCTGTCATCATGGGTGTGTCCATTGCGCAGGTAGGGGGAACAGCTTGCATGGGCGCCCTGTTCGGTGCAGCACAGTGGCAGGTCCCATGTACCTTAGTACCTTAGCCTGCACTGCAAATGCAGGCAAAGGGAGCTTGCATCTTACGTGCTGCACCCATCCTGAGAAAATCTTTATTTAACCCGCCACCAATTTGTTATATCCTAAACCTAATGATTCCGCTCTCTATTGTTGATGAGCAGGAGCCCTCCTTGCTTCACAGTTCCAAATGCTGAACAGGCAGCCCAAAACACACACACACACACACACACACACAACACGTCTGCTTGCCAAGCCACTATCACAGCTGGGATGAAGCAGTTTTGCGAAGCAGAAAAGTACCTGACATTCTCATCACTCCATGTGCTAAAGACGAGAACTTCTACATAAGAACACTATGTTGTGCGAGTGGAGTGGAAGGCATGGCACCCGCTGCTCCTGCTACAGGCTTGTGCCCCGCACCCAGCTAACATGAAGCCCCAAAATGGGTCCTGTAAACACTAGCTCTCGCTGGTTGAAGGGAGGCCATGACTTTATGTCAGTCTGGGGCAGGGTATTGATAACACCGTCGCAGGCGCAAGACCGCTTCCCCGTGCTCGTACGCCTGCACCTTGAGGGCACCTGACACAAGCATACTTTGTTTGTACCTGTGGCGACTGTGGGTGTCCTACTGCTGCCGTGAGAGGGAAGCCCCTGAACGGCTTACAGAACTTGGAGAAACTTGGGTTTTCTCTGATGGCAGGAAATCTCAGCCAAGAAACTGGGGGAAAGTCGTATGCTTACCATTCATACAGCACGGAATTGCAGCTGTGAGTTTAGGGTCCCAGGTGCACTCTTTGCTAGATGGAAGGGTGGCGAAATGACAAGCAATGTGACAATCTTCCATAACATATCCAAGCTTGACAGGGCTCGTTCTGAACAACAAGCGGGTGCACTGGAGGTGGGCATACAATTGGTCGGAGTCCCACCACTTGGATGTAGGGCAGCAGAATGAAGAATAATACTTATTGTTATATGATACTATAAACCTTTGAGGCTTATAGGGGGATAGTCTTCCCAGCCATCCATATTTCTACGTTATTGTTTGAAGTTTGTCTAGATTAGAAGGCGCATGCTCAACAGTGGAGCCCAGACCGCAAAACCACAACATGTGATTACGCAAATCATCCACCTAATCCAGTCTAGCAACAATCTGACAAGCAAATGGATCGGGAGAACCCGCAGCAAAGCGAGTGCTGCTCGCGCCTGCTTCGTCAATGTCAAGGCGTACCTCTTCCTCTTGGACAGCCTGTACCTTCAAGGAACGGGTTCTCGACACTGTGGTCAGCTGAGCTTGTTACTTTACCTCCAAGACCTTTCTCCCGGAAATCGTGGGGAGGCCCAAGCGGACGCGTGCTAGGGTGCTGGAGGTTTTGGATGGCAATGCTGCAGTTTGCGGTGTGCGTGTAGCACTTACTTGACCCGTCAACCAAAGGCTCCTTCTGCTAAAGCATTCCGGGCAGCTCCTGCACGTTGGACAAACAAACACTAGTCCCTTGATGGCAAGTGTGTGAATGGCATTGGTGCAGTTTGTGGCCTCCAGGCATCACTGTGAAATACCAGCATGCTCCAATCACATTAATCTTTCTTGCTGTGACTACCCTCACTTGCCACATCGCGCGCTATATATCCCCTATAAACCGTTTTGAGGTACCCCAAAGCTTGGAAATTGCATAATCGTAAGAAGCAGCAGCATAGTAAAGCAGGCGTAGGGCCATGGAATGTCGGCTCTCCAGCAAAATACCAGATTAGGAGAAGTGTCCCTAGTAATCTTTACGGGTCACACACGGCGATCCAAGAATGTTCAGCAGAATCAGAGTAGTCATGTGAGGTACTTCGGTACCAACTATAGCTAAAGTACATTCCATCCAAATTTATGGGTGCCAATAAACTCTGAGCCTTCAAGAAGGGAGTGCTGCGAAAGGTGGTGATTTGTTCTAGGGTTAAAGAGGGATATTTAGGGCTGAACTCCTCTCTCTTTACCCTGGCTTTTGGTTAGCTAGGAATGAAGGAATAGACCCTTATAGTAGGGCCTATATAACACATTATAGTCGTTTCCATTTTCTTTTCCATCCCTTCATTCCCAGCTAATAAAAGGCCAGTACCAGGAGATCTTCCAGGCAGCTATCAGAGAACAGCTTCTGTCAAGTAGTCGCCTCGGCGGGCGAGACAGGCTGCAAGGATGCCTCCTCGTGCTCCTCCTTGGCCCAGGGCACCAACAACTGCATCACCAGTGGGTTTCCCATTCTTTGGGGTACCTTTATCGGGGTCCCTATGATAAGGATTACAATGTCTTGGGGTCTATATTGGGGTTCTCCTGTTTTGGGAAGCTACAATCTCCTTTCAGTAGATAGAATATGGCTTCGGGTATACTGTCACAAGATCCCCCTATCCACCATATTCTATCTACTTGAAGGGGACTAGACCACCATGACATAGACAGGTTTTCCCCTTACCCCCACATGTACCGAGGTTTGGTACCTCAGGATCGGAGCTCATGGATTCCCTGAGCCTTTGCTCTGTGCTCCAAACTAATGTCCGCAGCGCAGTCCCTAATGTAACACCATGTAACCCCACAGAACCCCATATGAGCTCTAGTCAAAACTCCTGGTATCCCCTTCAACAACTTCTATAGTAGTCCCCCTATATAATCTCCCATATAACCCCCCTTTAAGGAGTTTAGACTATAGCTCATATAACCCCATGCTTTCTTGTCTCCGTAGGGCTTGAAAAGAAGGGCCCGAGGAGCGAGAGGATGATCCTGAACCCTGTACGTCGACTTGAAAATCTCAGAAGAATACCAGGGTTTTACTTGTAAAAACCCTGAGAATTCTTGGATATTTCATAAGAATACTTAGTTGGAAAATATACTTGGATATGTTGGGGGTTGCATCTAGAACAACAAGTGCCCAGTCCAAATGGACAGGGGCGCACGATAAGTTGATGGCCACGACTGTCTGAAACGTTGCCCCTCAAGATCTGATGTGGTTCTAGTTCTCGATCACAAATGCAATTTTTTGGCGTCGAGCATCGTCACTGTCCGGTTCTCCGAAAACATTTTCGAGCTGCTGCAGGGAGCGTTGCGTTGACTTACCTGAGCTTGCAATTCGTGGCAACCGGCTGTTGCAGGCTTTTGGCCAGGAACCTAACTGAGCTAAAGTCCAAGCTCCTAGTATCCCCCTTAACAACCCTATAATACTCCATGTACAATCCCCTATATAACCCCTTTAAGGTTTGACTATTGTATATTTATTCCATTTTGGCCAGGAACCTAACTGGAGACCAAGCTGCGATCTGAAACTCGGGAGAGGTGAGAGGCGTCGGACTTCACGCGTACGACCTAGCCATGATCCAAACCAATGCGAATCTTGACCCCTCTATCCTGAGAAGCCTACAGATTCCGAACTAGATGACGATTATTGCCGGCACTACTAGAATGTCTACTACTGATGCTATGGCTACTCTTAATTTCGTCTCTACCCTGCATCCCGGGCCTCGCGTTCGGGACCTCCTAGGTCTGTCATCACCATTCGGAAGCCTCTCAATTCCTGGGCAGTTGGCAACATGCTGCGCATGCTTGCCCCACTGCGTTAGACAGCAAAAACAAGCAGCTGTTCAGGCCTAGCAGCCGAAAGCTCCACGGCTAGAATTCCTGTCAAAGCCTTTCTATGCCTTTAGTTTGCAAGTGCGCACAGAAGGGGGCACCTGAGGATCAGCTTGCTGAAGCATAGCTACCTTTTCGCAACGCCTTCGGCAAATGCGGTCTGCAAAAATGCGTACAAGCCATGTTGGCGTTGAATGCCGCGCTTCGTTGATGTCTTGCACCATTTCCTCTGGCTCGATATCCCACTTGACGAGAACTTTCTTGACCTGTGCATTTCAACGGCCAGCGGACAAGTCTCGCATGCCCTGACTGCTACTTCCTCAGAGACGGCGCGTACAGCCGTGCCGGCCGAGCGGAAGGCGTGCAGCGATTACCATGATACGGGCTTTAGAAACAAGTCAATGGAGAGATGTGGTGGACCCTGGCAAAGTGAAGATTAGCCGCGTGTGCAAAAGTCTGCAAAAGTAAAGGAAACCATCTTGCGTTCCCAACTTGCGCAGTACTCAAGCCACGAGCAGATGGGATTCAAGTGTCAGTAGGCAGCACCATGTGTCCAGGCAGGAATTGCACGCTCAAGTGCAAGGCCCGTAGGGGGAAACGGTGACAACTCAATCGGCACACGCTTGGAGGTTGAATGAATAATGGTTCTTATTGGTCCAAGTGGAATCTTTTGAGGAATGCAAGTTGACTCTTTTTTGGATCGCATAGTGAAGACCTTTGAGAAAACAGCTTTGCCTTCTGTTTCCTCGGCGTGTCGTCACCGTCACTGTCTTCAGCATCAGTGACGACTTTGCTGCACTGAAACCTCGGTCACGGCAATACGGCTTCGACAAGACAAGAAAGTCACTCAACGTAGTCAATCGCATTGGATGCTGTCGCTCACGGCTTACTCAAGCCTGTTCCAAGTGCACAACTTCAGGAACTGTCTGGACTACTCGTCGTATGAATAGACTGCTGAGGAATCCCTTGTACTATAATATAGCAATATAGTAATCTCGTGGTTGGCATCTGCATCAAGCGGGTAAATCTTTAGAGAGCCCAGAGACGTCATTCTCTTTGCCGTTTTTCGGGCATACCTGCCCAGACCCCCTGATGAATCCAAAAAATGGAACCCCCCTAATAATCGCCTAGTCTCCCCAATGTAGCAATAGGTTCATATTAGGTGGGTGCCATTTTTTGGATCCTTTAGGGGGTCTCGGTGACAGTTGGCAAGCATGACTGGGATTGTTTATGAGGACCCCGGGAGGATTACAGAAGGGGATGCGGAGACGTTTATGTAGATGCTTGGGCATTCGCGTAAGTGTAGTCATGATTTAAGTCAGGGACTCAGATCCTATTTGTAGCTCTCCATGAACCTCCACTGCAACCTTGGTTTTGCACTTGGATTGAGGTTCTGTGGTGAAGCCCCCAGAAGCGGGGGCTTGGGCTCAAATCCAAAAACCCAATGGGGACTATATAGGGATAATGGAGAAGAAAATGGAAGCTACTATATTGGTGTTTTATATAGGGTTTAGGTAGGCCTTGACCAGGTTGGGACACCGAGATGCAAGGCCACTTCATCTAAGCAGCAGAATCAGGAGCATACAATCCATGTAGCCCCACTTCGAATTTCACTTCTACTTACCCATAGTCTACATGCATACAAAAGCCCTAAACACCCAACCCTCAACATGGTGTCATAATAATATACTATATTATACCAGAATATATTATAATGTACTATAGTAGTTTCCATTTTCTTCTCCGTTACCCCTATATAACCCTGATATCCGGCTTGGGCTATGCTTTGGAGGCCCCGGAGAGCCTGAGATTGGCGCTTCCCGAAGTGGGAGGCTTCAAGCGTCGGAGCAGGAGGAAGCAAACCACCTGGGTAGCTCCAAAGCCGAACACAGCTATATGGGTAGTTCCCAAAATTTAGGGGGTTATATAAGGGATTATATGGGGTTTAGGGCTTAGGCTGGTTCCCAAAATTAGGGTCACATTGTGGTACCCCTAAATATTAGGTGCTGTAGTATACTCTATAATCAGAAGGGGCCCACATTTTTGAGAACAAGGCACCTAGAGTTGAGCCTTTGGGATTAAGGGCCTGGGGTCCAGGATGTTGGGGATATGGTCTAAAAAAACTTAAGACTACGGTCTGGCCCATAGAGGACAAGTCAAGGCGCGCCTCTTCAGTGACTGTTAGTTGTGTAAGGAGGGAGGCCCTGCATGTCGAACGCATGGTGCTGCCGGCCATAATCTGTTGCGCAAAGCGGCTCACAGACTAAGCAGACTGCCGCCAGTCTGGATTTCAAATGGAAAGTTGTCAAAAAAGAGCCCACCCCAGGACGACAACACAAGAAAAGTACCAATGGAAGGAGCCCCCCTTCTGGACACCCCAAATGAAGCTGCAAGCTTCCTGTTGGTCTTGGCTGTTCTGGTTTGGAGTTGCAGGCAAACAGTGAAGGGATGACGGTCAAGACGGCACAGCACGCATACATTGATGACCACCCACCCACCCACCCAATCAAGTGTGCCCAAAGGCTCAGCGTCCTGAAGCCTTTTCAGCCGCCTAAGCGAAGAAGTCTAATCAGGTCTAGCATATGCTTGGCAAAACCAAGAAGCAACGCCACCAACGCACAGGATAATCATAACGATGGCCAGGACAACCATGTAGCCACTTGCATTCCTTACTGCAGGGGATGATAAAGGGGTTTCCCAATATTACGGGCCTCCTTGGGGGGGGTCCCCATACTAAGGATTGTAGCATTTTGAGCTTCATAGTGGGGCCCCGTGTTTTGGGAAACTGCCACAAAACTGCTATAGTATATTCTGTTTCCTGACCAAAATTCTGAAGTTTACTGTGAGCATGGAGGCCAAGAAACAACCCCACCTCAACCTATCACAGAAGTTGCTATTGGGCTGCAGCTTTGTGGTTGGAGGCGGCTAGATCTTCGTGTTTAGGTTTGTAGGTTTGGCTCCTCTAGAGTTTTCAAGTAAAAACACTGTTTAGCGAGTTGTACTGGCAGATTGAGCAACCGGCTATGAATCCATGTATGGTATGTATATATTGTAACTCATAGGGTTTCCCAACAAGTAACTTAAATTTAGTTCCTTAACAGCAACCCAGCAACTCTTTAGTGAATTCCTAAAAACCCTTTGTAGATGAGGGACAGCTTGTCCGCGCTGGTGTCGTAGAGGATATCGAAAGGTATGCTCTCCTGGGTTAGATGCTGAAGGGATTCTGACCCGGCAGAAGACCCTCCGTGAAGGTCTGCGCTGCTTGAATGGGTTCTGCGATGTTCTGCGAACAAGCAGTGTCGAGGCAGAAATGAAGCTAGGAAGCACAACAGAGCAAGCCACAACAATGGCCATCGTGGGTGCTGCAGCAGCAGAAGGATTTTTCCTCAATGCTGTGCACCTTCCTGACGTGTCCAGATCAAGGCCCTGAGAAACACATTGGAAGTAGTGGCGTCTTTCACGTAGTAGTCCAGTACTTCGTGTAGCAGCAGTAGTAGCGGCGGCGCTAACTGTTGCAGTTGAAATAGCACTAGCAGCAGGGAGAGTAGCAGCAGTGGTCGTTGTGGTAGCAGCGAACATCCCCCGAAAAGAGTATTAGGAATACCAATCCTTTTATTCCTCCTAGTATTGCACTAGTAGTAGCAGCAGCAATCAACAATATTAGCCATAACAATGGCAGGGGCTATCGCAATAACAATGGCAATAGGGCTGGTCATCACAATAATATCACTCATATTCATTGCCAGAATAATCGTAATAGAGATGAAGTTTGTTTTGCCTCGGCGAGGTGTGGCTTTGGCTTTGGACAATGACAAATTCATGACAAGTCCGCTGAGGACTATGAGCTCAGAGTCGCCTTTGGGGTCAAACAGCAATGGTGATGAAATATGAAAGTGTGACGAGGAATAACGATGCAGGTGTACCAGTAAGAATGCTACAAATAGCAAATGCGGTAGGATTAGATTCAGCGCTTACAGCAGGGACAGGCCAACAAGACAGAAAGCAACAAGCAGGAAGAATCTAGAAGAAGAGAGCTGGAAATAGAAAGCAAGGAGCAGCAAGCAAAAAGCAAAAGGAACAACAAATTAAACGTAGTAATCGTAATAATCGCACTGGTAACCCCAAGAAGTAGAGTTGTCAGCAGCAGTAACACAGTAACAGTAATCGTAGAAGCAATAAGAGTGACAGTAAGTAGTAACAGTAGTAGCAATAGTAATTGTAATAACAGTAGTTGTAGTAAGAGTAATAGCAAAAAATGCTATTCTCGTATCAATGGTAATAATAGCTGTGGCATCAGCATGCTCCTCACGTCACCCTTCCTGTTGTTTTTCTTTTGGGGCTCGTACTCCTAGACCCTAAACCCGGGCCCTGCCTGTCGGCATGGTCATGCTGGATGCTGGATCGTCCAGCTTACATTGAGCAGTTCGTATTGGATGTTAGCTTCGTGGTTAGAGAGGGCTGCGACTGCTCCAACAAGCTGCCGTTGCCACCTGCTGTTGCCACGCCATGGCCCTGTCAAGTAGATGTGATGGGTGACCGCCCATTACCTGCTTACAGCACAACTGCTTGACGCGCATAAGGCAATAGGAGTGCATTAGGTTGTCAAAGTGTTGTTTGGATGGAGACAGCTTCACAAGGCGGACGTATGGACACAGTTCCGGTCCGTGATGAGCCTTGGTTGGAAACATGGCTATCATTGGTTGCAGCGTCGCAGGCAGCGGGAGCAGAAGAAGGACAGCAGCAAAAGCTGCAGCAAACGAAGCAGGAGTGCAAGCAACAGCAATATTGAGCTGAACATCAAAGAACTCAGGAGCATCAGGGAATGGAGAGTATCAAGGACGACCGCACTGCAACCCAAACTGACTTCATGAGCAGGAACGCCCGCCAAACATCCAAAGTAGGACCGCTCGGCTTTTAGGCGCTTTAAAAGCGAGGTCGTTTACTAGCTGCAGCATTCACAACTTCCACAGACTTCTATTGCAATGCCACTACGAAAGAGGTTTTGACCAAGCCATGCTGCGTTGAGTTAGTGGCCTGAGACTTGCCTCAAACGGAAGTCAAGCTGCGAGGATGGCGAACATGGAGGTGTGCGTCGTTCGGCACCAGGACGCCTCAAGTAAGAGATTCTGGTTGCCCGATTCCCCATCCGTCCCAGCAGATGCTGCGAAAACACAAGGGCACACCCAAAGCAAGGTTGTCCCAACAGCGAGAAATTTGTCTAGGCATGTTTCTAAAACAAAAGCCCTGTGCCACAACTGACCAGCCAGGAACGGGAGCTCACTCATTCCAGCGATAGTGGGGCGGTTGGCTCGAGCGCATTCGGTACAACCCCTCCGCATCTTCCACTGAAAACGGTATGATTGTTACAATCCCTCACCCGAAGTGCGTAGGCTCTTCAAAGCCTTTGGTTCTTCATAACTTAGCCATCTACTTTCTGTAGCGCCCTCCTTAGCTTAGCCACTAGTCATCATTCGGGAGCCTCCTACATGCAGATTCTTGGTCAGAAGCATAGAAAAAAACGCAACTACAAAAGGCTACCATATGAGAAGGGGATTTTGGTAACCCCAACCCCAAAAATTAGGACCCGATGACTATCACATGATGTTTTTTCTTCATAGGACCATAATTTTTGGAGTTGCGGTCACCAAAAAAACCCTTATTACCATAGTTCCGCTTCTTTGCCATGGATTAAGCAATGGAAAATACTTTGACTACACATAGCTACTTAGAAGACAACACAAACACTGAACACTAATACACGGTCCTACATGATCCCTTTATGGATCCTTCAAAGGGGTTTATAGG